CAGCTGTTTCAAACCAGGAAGTGCACTCTGGGCTTCATTAGTTCAAATCAAACCCCTTGGTTCGAACTAACGTTACTTCTCATTTTTTGGGAGTAACATTAGTTCGAACCAAGGGGTTTGATTTGAACTAATGAAGCCCAGAGCGCACTTCCTGGTTCAAATCAGCTGGTGATCGGAATAGCGCGCAGGCGAGATTATGCCAATGAAGTGTGGGATGTTTAAATCCCCATTTCATTAGCATTTTCTGTAGCCTACATTTGCACCCCTAGTTCGAACTAGGGTGCAAGTGTAGACGTACCCTCACAGTATTGTCAGTGCTCATATTAGATGGGCTTCTTAAAGCCTTTAGTTCCGGGATCCATGCCATTAGGTGAGAATCTCTGCTTTCCCTTACAAAAAATAAAGCAAATTTTTAGGAATCTAGAGAAAAGGCTGAAAACATGATCTGGATGCACCTGAGAGATTCAAAACCCAGAAAATCAAGTGAACCCAACATTTATAAGTAAATCCGGTAGGGGAAGGCCTGACTGTTGATTATGAATACTTGGGCTTGCAATAGAAGGGTTTATTTAGGGTGGAAGCTCTTCAGAGGAGGAGCCGTCTCTTATCCTACGTACATTCAATACCTCTCCTAATAGCGATTCTTGTTCTTTTCCCAGTTCGGGTTTGGAGTCACTCCGTCAACAGCAGCCACCGGCGTGGTGCCTTAGTTGGGTGTCTAACGTGAGAGTTCCCCAAAAGGAAAACATTTCCCCTGAATTTAAGGACCCAAGTCTCTTCCCCTCCATTCTTTCTAATGCAGGGTAGGATGGAGATAATGGCTGTGCGGTATGGGCACAGCAGAAATGTCTAGACAGCTCTGTAACACATCCTGGCTGCACACGCTGAGACCGCTTTTAAGGCTTTCGAACTCAAGACCATCCGCAGCAAACGCTCAAGTCCTGACTCAATGGGCGAAGGGAGTAATTTAGTTAGCTCGGTGTGTGCAAACAAACTTTATCCGAATGGGAACATGTCACTAGAGATAATAGCCGGGGGCGGCAGGTTTGCAGAAATTTTGGTGGTTCCCAGAATGACCAGAAACCCATCTCCTCCCACCTGCCTAAGGCTCTGGGAGGGAGTTTGTTTATCAGGCTTCCTGCTTCTGATGTACTTAAACTTGCTATTACTTAGAGGTTTTGCTAGTTGTTCTTTAAACTGTTGTTCAGCCTTCCTATTTACTTCATTTACCGGAGTTTATGGGCCTTTCTATTTTCCTCACTCAGAATAACTTCCATTTGTTAAATAATCCCTTTTTCTTCCTCACTGCTTCTTTTACTTGGCTGTTAAGCCACAGTGGCAATTTTGGTTCTCTATTTTTTTTTTTAAATTTGGGCTTTCATTTAAGTTATGGTGTATGCGAAAAGTTTCCATGAAGTTTGCAAGCATTTCACTTTTGACACTAACTTTTAATTTCTGTTTAACTGACCTCTTCATTTTGCGTACTTTGCCTTTCTGAAATTAAATTAAATGCCAGGGTGCTGGGCTGCTATGGTATTTTCATCATCCTCTCCCCTTTACTAGTGCATAGAGAATCTATTAATAGACCCTCCCCCTAAGTGATGTCTGTCTGATCCATATGTTCCTCTGCACAATCAAACAAAAGGAAGTTTTTCTTCACGCAGTGCACAGTCAATCTGTGGAACTCCTTGCCAGAGGATGTTGTGAAGACTAGGACTTAATAGGCTTCAAAAAAGAGCTAGATAAGTTCATGGGGGTTAGGTCCATCAATGGCTATTAGCCAGGGGGTAGAAATGGTGTCCCTAGCCTCTGTTTGTCTGGAAATGGATGACAGGAGAGGGACCAAGAGATGATTACCTGTTGTGTTCACTTGCTCTGGGGCATCTGGCATTGACCACTGTCAGCAGACAGGATACTGGGCTAGATAGACCTTTGGTCTGACCCAGGATGGCCGTTCTGATGCAGCTATTGGCTTTCCCCCAGCCCTAGGTTTAAGAACTGTGCTACAGCCCTTTTGATTTCAAGAGTCAGCAATCTGATTCCATTTTGGTTTAGGTGAAGCCCAGCCTTCTCCAGTTCTCAATAAATCTCAATCTCTCCTCCATAAATTATTGGTCTCGTCCACACATTGAGACCCTGCAGTTCTGCCTGCCCTGTGCACGGAACTGGAAGCATTTCAGAGAATGCTACCCGGAGATCCTGGATTTCAATCTTTTCCCTAGCAGCCTAAATTTGGCCACCAGGGCCTCTCTCCTATCCTTCCCTATGTCGTTATCTACATATACTATGACCACTGGCTCCTCCCAAGCACTGCACATAAGCCTATCTAGATGTCTTGAGAGATCCGCAACCTTCGCACCAGACAGGGAAGTCCCTAGGCGGTTCTCCTGGACATCATAAACCCAGCTATCTATAAGTCTCAGTGAGGTGGCCGTGTTAGTCTGTAACTTTAAAAAATGAGTAATCCTGTTGCACCTTAGAGACTAAACAGAACTATATAGGGTATCACCCCCAGGCCAATCAGGACTTGGGGGCAGAGAGAGTGGGCGAAGTCTCTTCCCGCAGGACAGGGGCAGGGTGGGAGGAGACTTCGCATGCTTCCCCCCATGCCCTGATTGGCCAGAGGGAGGGGGAAGTGTACAAAGTCTCCTCCCACCACCCAGGGCACAGGCACGGGCACCTAGAGGAAACCAGCAGCTGTTCAGAACAGCTGGTGGTTCTTTCTGGGCAGGGAGGCAAAGACTTCACATGCTCTCCATCCCCAGACCAATCAGGGTCTGTTGGCAGGTAAGCATGGAAGTGTTCTGGCCCCGCCCCTTCTGCCTGAGGCCCCGCCCCTTCTGGGGCAGCTCGGGGCCACTTCAGAAATTTTTGAAGTGGCCCCTGGTCAAAAATTATTGCCCACCCCTGCCCATCTTTTGGCCACTGTACCTGACAGTGCTTTGGGGATCAAGTAATGATCTTTAGTTCCCTTTAAATGACCAACCTTGTGTCATCTTAGTCACCTACCTCTGTTTATAAACCAGCTCTCTAAAGGCTGGGCAGCTTCCAAATTCATCCGTCACACTCAGGCTGGGTAGCAGTAAACAGTGCTGGCGCTGAGCCTCCCTCCCTGGCCCTGAATATTCATGGTGCTTCAGCCCCTCGGGCCCATATAAAAAGTTGCCTGTGACAATAGCACACATTAGAGCAGATGGATACATGCCAAAGAGCACAGCAACACTGGTTAGTGTTACGTGTATATTGGTGACCCAAAGTATCCCCCTGACTGTATTGAACATAAAATGTTAGAGGGAGCTTCTCTCGGAGTCATAGATTTTAAGGCCAAATGGGACCACGCGCTGGTCTAATCTGACTTCCTGTATCTCTCAGGCCATTAAATGTCACTCGGCTACCCCTGCTCAGAGCCCAGTAACTCGGTTTGACTAAAGCGTATTTTGTGTTGGGCTAAAGCATCGCGTCAGTTCTTTGGAGGAGTAGCTCCCAACATCAGGCGGAAGAGAAGAGCTAGTTTCCAGACTTAGATTGTGTGGAGCTGATCTGCAGATTATTAAACTCAACTGGGAACGTGCCCTTCTTTGCGATTCTAGGGGCTCTTGAGAGGAGCCGACGGGTTGGTGAAGAGGAGGGGAGGGAACAGGTGCTGAAAAAGGGGTTTTCCTTTGTTCTGCCTGGTGGGTTTTTTTCAGGTATTTTGTTGGCTATCACACAAGGGGACGTGGTGGCCGTCCCAGAAGCTGCGCATTGCGAGCTCACAAATCTTAAGTGAAGGGGGGAGAGATTCTCTCCTTAACAAGGGCTTCCTTTCTCGACGGGTGTGTCTACACAACAAAGTTATTTCGGAATAATGGCCGTTATTCTGAAATAACGACGCACGCGTCTACACAGCCATTCCGTTATTTTGAAAAAACAGATGGCTTATTCCGAATTCTGTAAACCTCATTCTACGAGGAATAACACCTATTCCAAAATATCTATTTCGAAATAAGCTGTATATAGACACTCCACTGCTGCTATTTTGAAATAGAATGGCCCAGGGGAGGGGCTAAGTTATCCCTCCCCAGTGCCTCCTGGAGCGCTAAACCGAGATAGCACGTCTACATTAGAGAACTCTGCCTCGGACTAATTTTGAGGCTTCCCTGCAGTGTAGACGTGCTATTTCTAAATAAGCTATTTTGGAATAACCATTCTGGAATAACTTATTTTTAAGAACAGGTTAGATAGACATCTGTCAGGGATGGTGTAGACGGAGCTTGGTCCTGCCTTGAGGGCGGGGGGCTGGACTCGATGACCTCTCGAGGTCCCTTCCAGTCCTATGATTCTATGATTTTGAAATAGCCGGGCAGTGTAGCTGTAGCCTAATAGACTAGTCATTGACATTAGGGAGGCATTAAAAACAATCCTAAGAGGATCAGTCTAAAAATCTCTTCCCTGTCTACTCAGTCAGCTTTCACTTTCTCCAGTCTCCCAGCCTTGACAAGACGTGACTTTCTACTGCAGGTGTGGAGACAACTCATTTTCGAGACCCTTTAACTATGATAAAGGGCACAGAGGGGGAACGCCCGCATGTTTATTTTCTTTGAGATGTCTGAAAAGGGAGGGTGCATGTGGGAAGCTGTGTAGAGTGTGTGTGTGGGGGGGAGGGAGGGCGCAAGGGCAATGCCTTCCTCCCACAAACAACATAATGGAAAATATCGATGTGTCACGTTAAGCTTGGAAGAGATTTTTCCCACTTGTTTGTGGGGCTTAGGAGCCCAGCTCTACAGACCAAACAGAAAGGCAGCCCCGGCTCTGGAGAGTTTACTCTGCTAGGGGCATGCCCCTCCCTAGCAGGATTATGTCTTTCTACATGCAAAGGCTCATGCACTAAGCTCCAGAGCGCCTCGGTCTGGTTCTGCCCAGTGGTGATACACTATGTCCTTGTCCATACTTTGCGACCTTAAATTCTAAGGCGGCCGTTACATCTGTCCCATTTACATCATGTTGTTTGTATTTTACAGGGCTAGTGAGCAAGAAGAGACAAGTTCTTGCTTATTAAAGCCTCCAGGCAAGACGATTTCCTTGGTCGAAGGTCACATCCAATCCCTTCCCATCATGGAAGCCTGAGAGCCAGGAACCTCCATGACCTCCAGAAACCACCACTCCTTACCACGAGCTCTGATGGCACCTCGAATGTTTACGGAAGGAGAACTTGGGGGCATTGCCCAAATCACCCCCTCTCTCTACCTGAGCCGAGGCAGCGTGGCCTCCAATCGACATCTGCTTCTGGCCCGGGGCATCACCTGCATAATCAATGCCACCATAGAGATCCCCAACTTTAACTGGCCCCAGTTTGAATATGTCAAAGTGCCTCTGGCTGACATGCCGAATGCCCCCATCTCCCTCTACTTTGACAGCGTGGCGGATAAGATCCACAGCGTCACCCGCAAGCACGGGGCCACCTTAGTCCATTGCGCGGCTGGCGTGAGCAGGTCGGCCACCCTGTGCATCGCTTACCTGATGAAATACCACAAAGTGTCACTGTTCGAGGCTTACAACTGGGTCAAGTCGCGGCGCCCCGTCATACGCCCCAACGTGGGCTTCTGGAGGCAGCTGATAGACTATGAGAGGAAGCTCTTTGGGAAGACAACGGTTAAAATGGTACAGACGCCGTACGGTATACTCCCAGACATTTACGAGAGAGAGGGGAGACATCTCCTGCCTTACTGGGGGATTTAATGGGACTGCAACAACGGGAAGATTAAGAGCACAAGAAACTTGCTGTTCTCCTAGGTCGGAAACACTCCCTTCTCCTTGGATGGCCAACTTTTCCTTCTTTACCACACAGCAGAACCTTGCTGACTGTCACATCCTTAATCAGCCAGGCCAATTCTCCCTCGACCTTCCCTGGAGTTAACGCGACAGCGAGCGCTTTTAATTCTTCCACAAAGCATCCCATGCAGGCACTTGACGAGTACACGACAAGAACCCAAAGGCACTTGGCAGAAGGAATGAACAAAGTACACTTTGCGATGAGGTAGCTTGGATAGTTCTTTACTAGCTTATTTTCTTCCCCTGTAGTGGATGAGCAGCACTAGCACAAAATGAAGGAGGCCCTTCCCGAAACTCAAACTTGCCGTGTCTTATTAAGAGACGGTGAGAGGGGCGCATGGGAATGTGCTGCGAATGCTCTCATTTTCCTTAAATACTTGCAGCCTATAGCGTTAGAGATCGTTAGCTAGCTTTTCAAATCTTTCTAAGAAGTTAAGCCAAAGTCTACCACAAATAAACTATCGACGTCTCAGAGGGGTAGCTGTGTTAGTCTGTATTGGCAAAAGCAAGGGGCCACAGGTCTGCTTGTTTTATTAAGACAAACGAATGCTGTCATGTCCCTCTCCTGCCCCCCATGCCACACCAGTGTAACAGCTCCTGCAAGCATGTATACACCTGAATAGTCTAGTGCACATGAATACATGCTTGCACGATTGAGGAGCAAACAGCAGCTTAGTACAGAAGCGATGAGTTAAGCTTTCCCATAGTGGCCAGCCAAATGAAGCTTTGTCTAGACGGCTACCCTCCCAAAGGAGTTGAGCTGTATTTTTTAGTAGTCAGTCAACCAGTAAATTGAAAGTAGGTAAATCTGCTTGATAACTAAGTATAGTCGTGATCTGCCTCTGATCTTTGCCAATTCACAGCATTACGGTCACAAGGATTATGTTGCAGTCCTGAATTTTTCTACGCAAAATACTTTCATCTGTTAGACCTCCAGTACAAAAGGTGTCTTTCTTGAGAAATCTTTGCTTTGTTTTGCTTCTGATGAGCAAGAGGAGATTCTAACCTGAGAAGTGGGAGGAGATACTAAATGATATGTCAGCTAAGTCATGAGTATTTTCCACATCCTTGCATATCACTCACAAACAGCTGGAACATCGAAAGAACCAAGGAACTTACCCAACAGGACTGGTTTTATATCCTTCCCTGTATCTCTAAAAGAGGAAGACACAGATTTTTGGATGCAGAGAGAAAGATATCTGATTTACGTGAGAGACTATACTTGTAAAAACAATCTTAATAAAAACTAACACTAGAGCCCACAAGTTCATGATCATAATAATCAAGTTCTTGACATCTCTGAAATTCCAGTGACAACACTGATTAAGCTTCAATAGCTTAACACAATCATAAATACCAATGCTTTTTCATTAAACCTTGCAATCAGTTACCAGTGACTTGACTAAATTGTGTACATTAAATCTAGACCTTTGAGACACACCAACTCAGCCAGGCACTGAATTTGGCTCATTACTGCATTTTTATCCTCTGGTGCTATATTTGAATTTCTGAAATGCTGATAGTCTGGTTTAAGTATCAAACGTGATCAATGCATTTATCATAATGGTTTGTTGCATCAGCCAGTGTATAGTCTGCAACAGACTGGGCAGGTTTCTGCTCTTCCAGAGTAAAATAGGACCACAGAAAACAATGGAGATGTCCCTTGTTAAAAAAAAAAAAACAGTGTTTACAAGGAATGAGAATCAAATCTCTATAGCCTGAGCTACACATGGATCAGAGGGAAAACAAGATCCAAATGGATTCATGACAAAGGGGTTGCTTCTGAATCCAAGAGATACACCTGAACTTTTCAAATGAACTGAGAACAACTGAATTTCACCACAATGAGCGGGTCCCATGGGCATCTGGGAGAAGAAAATGCTCCGTTAGCGTCTAGGGTCAGACCCTGTGTCGAGTCAGGTCAGTGGAGCGACCTCCACTGAAGTCAGTAACCAGCGAATTGGGCCCCAAGACCACTTACTGCAATTGGTGGGGGAATGGTGCAAGGAGATATAAAAAGGGAGAACTCTGCGTACACCTCGAGGCATACATGGAAACCACATCAGCTGTTCAACACATACATGAACCCACAGTAAAGAGACCGCTGTCAAAATGGAGTTGTTGTAAAATACCTTAAAGCTTCAAGAGCAGACACATTTAAACGGTCCCAGATGGTTATTTTTCCTTACATTTGTACACCCAGTCCCACTGCAAACCCTTATTTACATTTATCTCTATTGGATATGGGCAGGTTTAAAGAAAGTCCAGTGGAGGGCAACAAAAATGAGGGGACTGGAGCACATGACTTAGAGGAGAGGCTGAAGGATTTGGGCTTGTTTAGTCTACAGAAGAGTGAGGGGGGATCAGATAGCAGCCTTCAGCTACCTGAAGGGGGGTTCTAAAGACGACGGAGAGGCTGTTCTCAGTGGTGGATGGCAGAACGAGGAGCAATGGTTTCAAGTTCCAGAGGGGGAGGTCTAGCTTGGATATTAGGGGAAAGATTTCCCTAGGAGGGTGGGGAAGCACTGGGATGGGTTAGCTGGGGAGGTGGTGGAATCTCCATCCCTCGAGGTTTTTGACTAAGCCGTGGCTGGGATGATTTAGTTCGGACTGGTTCTGCTTTGAGCAGGGGGGTAGACTCGATGACCTATATGTCTCTGATTCTAAAACTGCAAGTGAAAACAAAAACAGAACACTGCCTTACTACACACACGCGTGCAGCTTAACATTCCTCTAGAGGCCTCTCAGTGCAAAGATCTCCATGTGCTTCAAAACCAGGAACAAATGTAGGCTCAGCTCCTCACGGAGGGATGGCAGTCTCTCTCTTTTTAGGCTAGAAATGGAGGGCTGGAAGAGACCATCAGAGGTCACCTTGTTCAGCACCCTGCGCTGTAGTAGGAGAAAAGCCACCTAGGCCCTTCCTGACAGGTATTTGTCTAACCTGTTCTTAAAACTTCCAGGGACCAGGATCTGACAACATCCTTTGGAAGCCTAATCCAGAATTTAAATACCCTGACCATTTAGAAAGCTTTCCCTTATTCTGACCTAAATCCCCCTTGCTGCTGATAAAGCCAATTTCTTCTCGTCTTACCTTCAGTGGACATGGAGAACGACTGATCACTGTCCTCTTTCATACAGCCCTTAGCCTATTTGAAGGTTCATCAAATGCCCTCCCCCCCCACATTTTCTTTCATCAAGACATGAACACACCCAGTTTTGTTACCCTCTCCTATTAGGTCAGGTTTTACCAACGTTTGTACCATTTTTGTTGCTTCACTCTGGACTCTCTCCAGTTGGTCTACATCTTTCTTACATTGTGGTGACCTTCACATGGGTTAATGAAAGCACACGGTGTGAAATTCTTGCCCCGCTGAAGGCAGTGGGGGTTTTACCATTAACTTCTATGAAGTCAGGATTTCGCCCAAAGAGACACTAACTGATTTGGCCAAGAACCCACAAAGTGACTGTGGCAGATGGAGGCCCAGAGCCCTCATCCTCTCACTCCTTGTCCTGTGCTTTTACCAAAACACAAAATCCCTTCCCAATACAAGACAGCAGTCGTGAGACCAGGACCAACAATCCTCAGAACAGCCATCGAAGTTAAAGCGTGGAGCTGTAGATTTATTAACTCCAGTAGCGCCCACCAGATGATGAATCTGAACTATCTTGAAATGGACAGAATTGGGGAAAAGCTCATTCTTCCATGCAGATAACTGTTGCAAGAAGCTCTGATCTTCATATAGTTAAATAGCTCTCAACACCCACTGCAGCCAGTTTTCAAGAGAATTTCACACTTTCCGGGTTGCTAGGGGAAGCATCTCCAACACTTGTTAACTATGCAGTACAATGTGCAAATGCAAGGCAGCTTTAGTATGAGGCTGTTCGCATTATTGCCCAGAATCTTGATATTAATTTTCCAGTAATTCAGTGTCAAAGAGAGTCAAAGCCAAACCATTACGCAGTTCAAGCAATTCTGTTTTTTCCTCCCTATCAAGTTATTTTGCACCATAATCACTAGACCTGCATCAGCTGCTATGCTAAAAGGCACAGCATAAACTTGGATGTTAACATTCATTGAATTGTTCCCAATTTGTACTACCAAATCAATGTCAAGGCTTATAGACTCAAGGGCTCCAGGCTGCTATGACAGCACAGTCATTTTTCTTCTGGGCTGCATTTTTATCATTGGACCTGGGGTACCCGTGACATCTGTAACAGTGCTTTGGGTGTGATGGATATAGTCTCTGAAATCACAGCATCTCTGGCCACTTGACAAAAAAAAAAGAATACTCACTCCTGTCTAGCACAGGAGACCAATGGGCAGTGTTCCTTGTAAGCTGTACACTTGTTTAGCTGTGAGGGAGAGATCCAAATGCCACCCAGGTGACCCACAGCTAAGTTTTTGTTTCTACTGCACATTCACACACACCTTGGTGCACATGGAAAAATTTATTCTGCCCATGGGTGGAAGAGATTAGAGAGAACATTGCCTCAGGGGTACACTGTAATCCACTTGCCTTGGAAAGCACTCAAATATGTTTAACTATACATCAAGGAAACTCACGTCCCTGGTGAAACTGAACGGCTTTGCCGAGTCAGAGCCGGACACGGGGTTAACGCTACCATCAAACTCAACAGGTCAGCTATCAAAGTGTTTTCTTCACCTGTATTTAAAATACAAACTTTGCTCAAACTGTAGTAACTGCACAACACCTCAAATAAAGATCAGCACAGTTTCCAAGCAGAGATGTGAAAGGTTAACCGGTTAACCAGTAAGCCTCACCCAGTTATTGGTTCCAGTTAACCAGTGGGGGCCGAAGCAGCTCCCCACCCACCACAGCGCCCCCCCCCCATTTTCATATGTTAACTAATTAAAAGGGATTCTGCCAGTAGGAAGCTTCTCAAATCCGCCATCAAAGCAGGAAAGGTTCAACCTCATTGCTGTATTTGAGTTGAAAAGTCCCAGCTGAACCCACCTAAACAAGTGTACTCTCAGAGCAGGATTGGTGAGATATCTGTATGAATCGGTAACACACTGCAGCACTTTACTGGCTGCATCCTGCAACAAGTCACCATGCAGATGTTTCATAAATAAAGAGCTCTTTATTGAGATCAACGATTCATGGAGATTCAACAAAGCATTTATAAACCGTTGCAAGAAGGGGAAGTAAATCATATTAAAGTGTAAAGTAACAAACTATTCTTAAAAATACAAACAATGACTCCAGCACAGCACAAATTAGAACAAGAGCATTCACTGCTATACTAATCACAAATCTACCCATACAAGAGAAATGACTATTCACCCAAATGCAGAAAGAAACTCAGTGTAAGGGGATATTTCCCCAATATAGAAATACTCCTTTAAAACTATTACATTTCTCTTTTAACATTGAGAATCAGAATTAAATAAAAGGTCCAGAGAGCAAAAGATCTTTAAGAAAAAGTAGTTGTACAATAGCGGCTTTTATTGAAAAGATATCTATTTTGTTCCAGGTTTCATTCATTTAACATGTCACTAATTAGGAAAAAGAATATTTCTTGGGTTTTCACAAGCATCCTTTTCTTAGACTGTACTTCATCATAACTTCACATTTACTACATGGTTTTCCAAGAAAGTGCTAAGCAATTTAGCTCAAAATAAACAAAAACAATCTGCTGCCAGGACTGAATTCACTGGAATGGTTAAATGGAGAATGTAACGGTCCATGTATATAACAAATAAAAAAAACAACTTTATAACAAAAGGACAGAGCGGTTGCTGGGGTATTTAAAAATTCACACAACAACAATTTTATCAGCAGAAATCTTGGTACAATCTGATTTGACCCTAATGCCTATCAGTACTGGAAGGAAAGATTACAATAGTATCTTTCAACTGAGAAAATTAGACAAACCGTTAGGAACCTATGGAGCACAATATAGAAGACATTTAAATCAACCAAGAAAATAACCAGTTAAAAAATCAAGATATGCACAAATCACAAATAAAAATAATTTTCCTTAGGCAAGCCCAAGGCAACTCCAGAGATGTACATGAAAAATATCCACTTTCACAAATTTTGATAATGAAACAGATGACCTCAAAAAAGAAAATGTTACATTTCTAACACACCATAGGTCAAAACAAAAAGTCTCAGGGTGCATTTAACCTCTCCTCAATTAAAGCAAGGGAAATGGTCTGATACAATCCAGTGTAGAAAATATTGTAACCTTGGATACAGTTTCCAAGGACACTGGGCCCTTGGCTAACAGTATAATAGCTCAGAAGCTGAATGCAACACTGAGTCATTTTAATGACTAGGGTATAGAAGTGGAATGATCCTTCTTGTGCAATGCCCTTATCAGTGGTATCTAAATGTAAAACATTCACGTCATGAGAACACTTTGAAGGTGTTTAGAAAAACGCCTTTTGCTTGACAGGATTGCATTAACATTGCCTGCTGCTTTCCCATTTGGTACAGAGTGGGGGACTAGCAGTGCCATACTCCAATAAGCTTTACTGTAATTACACTCAAATGCCCTTTCCCCCTATTTATGTGCCATAGACATGCTGGATACTTCTAGCAGACACAACATATTTGCTTAACAAAAGGATACATTAAAACAAATAATGGAATTAAAATGGATTTCTGGCGCAGTGCAATGACCAGTCATGGCTTTGGAACACAGGCGCTATAGAGTTTCTGCGCTGCAGCTACTTTAACTTGAGCCATGCTCTTTAAAACTTGTAGGAAGCTTGAAAGAATAAGAGCAACTATGGAGGAAGCCCAGGTTAACAAAAAGCTTCCCTTATCCCAGTACAGCTTTTATACAAGCTATTGCCTTGGTGCAGCAGAGTATGTAAGCGTGCGAATGGTGCCATTGCTTTCAGGCGTACAAATCACGTGTTCACCATTAGGTGTTTGCTTGAGTCCTTCGCTACATCAAGATCACAAGGTTGCATCCTGCTGACTTACTACCGTGAGTCCAATATTACTTGCCGTAGTAAGCACAAGGCATGATGAGAGGTGGAGAGCAGCGTATGGCATGGCAAGGAATGGATCGTCAAGACGAAGCAAGAAGGATTTGATGGGGAAGACAATGATCTTGTCCCAAGGAGCTGTTCTGAGGTCTAGTGCACGTAGGCACCATGACTAGGAAGTAAAGTAGTGGCCAGTCAATCAGAAATCAGCTTGCTTTGATAAACTTTGCATGGGGGAAGGTGGGTACTGCTATATTATTGGAAAACTGCTCCTTGATCAGCTTGGATCTGAGACTATGTGGTGCAGAGTGCTGCCATTATACCAGGGGTGGGCAACAAAATGGTGGCAGTTCATCAGGGTTAGGCCCTGGAGGGTGGCTGTCACTATATTTACCCTGCACCTCTGCAGGTACGGGTGACCGCAGCTCCCATTGGCTGGGAATAGTGATCCATGGGCAACGGGAGCTGCCATCTCCTGTACCTGCAGAGGCACAGGCGGTAAATATGGCGCTGTGAGGGCCCACCAAGAGCTAGCTCTGGTGGACCAGATCCGGCCTGTGGGCCGGTATTTGCCCACCCCTGTATAATACAGGCCTGCCGACGAGGGGAAGCAAAGGGGGCAGTTGTCCTGGGGCCCATGATTCAAAGGCCAGTGGCAGCAGATGAAGTCCCGGGCCCTTTAAATTGCTGCCAGAGTGTCATGCTAAGGACTGGGGGTCAGTGGTGCTCCTGGAAATGCAACGGGCTGGCTGCCCTCAGCCCTGCCCCGTACATCTTGCCTGGGGCCCAAGGAGGCCATCAGTTCCGTTGCTATGATAAAAATAAGTAGGTTTCAGACAGTGGGAAGATCCATTTTAATTTATGCAAATAAAGTTCATTCACTCATTCTTGTTAGCCAAGCTCTCTTTCATTAGGTGTATGTTAATCTGAACAGAATTAACCTTTTAGACAAACCATCATTTTTATCCCCCATGCAATTCTGTTCACAGGAACACAAAACCACAGGTCAATAGTCGCTATTTACTTAGAAAACAGAGACTGGGCTTGCTTTGAACAGCTGTTGACATCTTAGAAAGAAGGACGCTTCTCTCAAGATCTGTTTGAGAAACTACAATAAATCAGAGAATGAAGAAATCATCAGTTGTACCAGGAAACAAACAGCAGCGCTGGCTTTGCTCACTGAGTCAGAACCAAGTAAAGGCCAGCTAGTGGAAAGGCCCTTTTGAAATAAATTCCTGACACTCCCATTGGATTAAGAGATCCGTAATTAGTCGTTCAAAAGCTCTAGCATTGTTATGTACTTTCTGAACGGGAAAGCTGTCTTCACAGCAAACTTACTTTATTTTTGTTTTCTGGACTGTCATCTCAATGGTGTATCTAAGAAAAGAACCCTATGCACCGAGCTTTGTAAGTAACATACTGAGACAGCCTGAGACATTTGTCTCCGGAGAGCAGCACCAGCTGAAAAGCACCCATGTATTTTGCCTGTGTGCAGTCTGCTGGGAAATAGCAAATATCTATCTGAAGAATGAACTCACAGGCAATCAGTGCCATCAGTTCTGAGTCTGGTAAAGAGCCTTGATGGACAACATTAACTTGCATAAGATATGCATGGAAGTTCTATCAAGCAAAGCACACTCATGCATCACATATGTAGTGAAATATATGAGTGTGGGCATTTGATATTAGCAGGGTATGATTTTCAACATGATGTGCAGCAATTGAGCTATATGATTACATAATAAGGGGCAAAGGGCTAAATGAATACCTCATTGTGAAAGTCCATAGGTCTGCAGTTGTAGGACAAGTCCAATGAAGGGGTAAAGAAGGCATGCCTAGTATTACAGCAAAGTAGAAAAGACTACAAGTTTTAAAATCCAGCTGCCTTTACTGAAGCCTAAAGATACGGTACGAAAGATTTAGATACACAATGATTTTTATCCCAGTTTTTCCTCCAAATACTAACCCACTAAGTGTAGGAATAAATGTATTCTGTAATACAGAACAGTAATTCTATAAATAAACAGTGGCTCATTGCAGCTTAACAATCCAATCCCTTCTAGGTCAATAACTTACTTCTCTTTGAACATTACTGTCACTTCTTGTACATTGTAATACTGTAGCAGCAATAAGAAACACCCCTCTGGGTTCATATATTAAGGTCAGAGGAAAGAACAGTTAGCAAATATACATTTTGTTAAGGGGTGGCTTCAATTTAAACCCACACAGCCTAGTATTTCATCAATTTCTTGAAATGTTAAGAACTATTCCACCTCATGCACCAATTTACCTTAATTAGCACAGTGATTTGCTACATCTCAAAAAGTGCTAACTAATTTCAGCTTGAGATAGATTGAAATGCCATGTTTTGTGCCACAGTGCAAAATTCTTTGATGATTTCTCAAGGATGGCTTGAACCTTCCAGTGAAATTCTTTCTGGGGATCCTGTATGAGAAAGTGGCTTTTGACCCATTACAGTACAGAAGAAATGCAGAAATACTTGAACCACTGCTCAAAAAAGCCTTCAGTATTTATTCCCCTGCATCATCCCCGTCAAGTAGCCATGTCTTGTGATGCGAGCCCTCCTTCAGCATAAGTCCTTTCACAGCAGGTCTGGCAAAATGAGGCCCGGAGGTTTCGGCTCCACACAATTGATCCAGAAGTTCGCACAGCTTGCATGGTACTGGTGCCCGCCGTACGCCAGTTTGAAATTATCCGTTTCCGAATTAAAAGCCTAGAATAACAAAAATTAAAACACGTGTGACAGTCCCATCTGCCGCTCAGTCACGTAAGATCTAAAGAGGTCATCTGATATCTGCAGACATGTTTACAGTAAGAAGGCACAGTACCGTCAGACCTCAACTCTGTCACTCTCAACTGAAGAAACGGACCAAACGGAAGCAAATTTTAGTCCGTAAGAATTTCTGAAGGCAGACAGCATCCCCAAATTCAATGTCTAAAACAGAAGGTTCAGTTGCTTCACCAGGTTTTAGCAGTGAACATGTAGCAAGTGGTTTGACTGGTATTACATTTGACCTTAGACCTGGGAGCTGATTCAACTTGCTGCATGCGTTTTTCACTAATTATCTTCTCTAGGTAGGAAATGGTACACTGTCCCGTACTTCAGAAAACAGCTTGTGAGGCTCGCCCATAACAGCAGAACTTCCAATTATTTCATTCAATGGGCCACCCTTCACTTCAGGGTTCTAACTCTACTGATACCAAAGTTCTGCCTGCTTACTTCAGGGCTTAGTTTGGTCTAGCGTTTCTGTTAGGGGCAGCTACTCTACAACTTTTTAAATATATACAGGCAGTCCCCAGGTTACGTACAAGATAGGGACTGTAGGTTTGTTCTTAAGTTGAATCTGTATGTAAGTCGGAACTGGCGTCCAGATTCAGCCGCTGCTGAAACTGATCAATACCAAAGTTCTGCCTGCTTACTTCAGGGCTTAGTTTGGTCTAGCGTTTCTGTTAGGGGCAGCTACTCTACAACTTTTTAAATATATACAGGCAGTCCCCAGGTTACGTACAAGATAGGGACTGTAGGTTTGTTCTTAAGTTGAATCTGTATGTAAGTCGGAACTGGCGTCCAGATTCAGCCGCTGCTGAAACTGATCAGTTTCAACAGCGGCTGA